GATTTTGTCATAAAATGGTCATAAAGCTACACAACGCAGCTGGGGTACAGCCAACACCCAGAATTGGGCAATACACATGGTTTTATTACAACATATAGGTGTATATTCATTTTCTTCAAGTTTCAGATTTCTTGGTAGTGCTCTTTAAAATCAGTCCATTAATATGTTTGTTTTGAAAAGATTGCATCTACTAACATCATTTCTGGCAAGTGATGGCACATCTGCAGGTTGTACTACTTTACTTTTGTCAGTTACATGACACACCCAGGATTTCTGTTCCATTCTCTTTTCTTTTCTTGCCAACTGTGTAGAGGTTATTTTTCTGTTCACTCTCTCACACACACCCTTGTACAAAAATAAAAAAAGATAAGAAGAGCAGAAATGGGAATAAAAGCTTAGAAGGGGCTCAAATATAGCATGCCTTGCCTTGTCCTATCATAGTGTTAATGTTTCCAATTGCTATTTTATTTTAAAAAGTTATATTTTACATTATATAAAGGAGACCGGTATAAGCCATAGGGAAATATTTCTATGGAATCTTCTGAAATTATTTATTTCTGGTTCTGGTTAATACAAACTTTGAAATCTTGGTAACAGATGAATAAATCAAACTGTTTAGACCATCCTACCCAAACGTGATGTTTTCAAGTTGATTCATGTGAACCATGCTGACTTGGAATTTGGGTGACTGCAAATGGGGCTCATTTATAGGGTCATGGCTGCATAAGACCATTCTAAAAGTAGTTTCCAAACTGGATCTTATCAAATACTGAGGTATAGATAGACAAGCTATAGTTCAGTGATGGCTAACCTTTTTGGGGCTGAGTGCCGAAGGCGCAAGCATGCGCACAACCACCCACCCATAATGCAATGTGCATGTGACCATCCCAGGCACCCCACCCCTGCACATGCACACACAACCCCCTGCACATGATCCCCCCACACACATGCACCCCCGCCTCCCTGCACATGCACAGCAGAGACCCAAAAACCAGCTGGCCAGCAGGAGGCCCATGCATATGCATGACAGAACACATGCCCACAGAGAGGGGTCACAGTTTTGCCATCATGGCTATAGTTGATAGGCTGGTAGTTGGTTAAATTATTGATTGTCCAGCCTTGTATTGTTCAGAGAAGGTCTCAGAAATTGTTTATGCATGTACGTATTTTTATTACTTGAGTAGAAAAGAGCCAAACTGAGTTAGGAGGACCAGGTTCTAGCCTTTCTTTAGCCACGGAATCCAGATGTGTGTTTTTGGACGAGTCATTCTGTGTTTGACTGGGAAGTAAAAAAAAACAACCATTTATCTATTAACCCTTACTGAAATGGTATGAGATGATTCTCCCTGATTTTCAATAAACAGCCCTCAGCCTACACTGAATAAATTTGTTATGAGTTATTCCAAAAGAGCATGTCAATTAATGGGATAGTCATATTTCATTATAATCATCTAAAGCTACCAATATCAAGAATAATTCATTCATAAATTTCTAATATTAATTCTGCAGAATACTGAAAAGTTGGGACCATGTATTTATCTTTCCAATGCTGATAAACAAAAGCACAAACAATATACTTTCTTTGTCAGATGTCACTTTCCAGATGATAATGGCCCAATTTATTTAGAGAGTTGTTAATAGAAGCTGATCTATGCACTCTAAAGTACATCTCATATTCTGCAGAATATGCAAAGGTCTTATGGTGGATATTACTCAGTTATTGATGATTCATGAATAAAAGCAGAAAGCTTGAAAATACTTTTTCCACTTTAGGTTAATGCATTTTCATGATTTATTTAAATCTTCCAGTTGTTTAGTAACTTTAAAACTATGTCACCAATGTGCTTTTAAAACTGCATCTTGGTGTTCATATGTAACACCAGAAATAGAAACAAAGATCAGATTTTTAAAAAAAGAACTCTAAGCCAGTTGCTATTTTCAAAGAGAATAATAATTGAAGGACTGGCAGTACATGTAATCTGCACTTTGATAGTCCCAAAACAGTGGTTACATGTCAGATTGATGGTCCATGATCATCCTGAAGCGGCACACAGGACATTTTACCTTCATCCTCGATAACAAAAAAGCATATTCTTAAAGATCCATAACGCACTAGTCCTTTGGGAAAAGCAGCAAGATTCATGTATCATTATGATTGTCTACTACTCTCTTGTCCCTCTCTGTTATGCTCTGACCTTCATCTTGCTTCTGCTTCTTATTTTTATCATACCATTAAATTATGCAGTTGAAAGCTCTTCTCAAAACCTCTTGACTAATTTATAGGTGGCATCATAAATCTATTCTTCTTGTGTAGTTTTATTTATTTTCTTGTTGTGAGGTGCAACATTTAGATTCATTATTCTAGAGTCAAGATAAATGCGCCTTTCAAAGATTTTATAATGCTGGGGACTTGAAAAGAAAGATTGCTATGCTTTTGAAGCAATTTTTTAAATTGGATTTTTGAAGAGGACAGATGAATATTGACTACGTGTTAAAATTTAATTATTTTTTCCTGTTTTAAAGGTTTGGATTTTTTTTTTAGAAGATTCATAATTAAATACAACAGATCTTAAAATTTTTATTTTGAATGACTACTTAGGGGCAAATGAATAACTGCTTGATTTGATATCAAAGAGAGTACTAGGAATATTGCAATTATATTGGAGCAATTGTGTAGTTAAAAAATAGACCACTCAAAGCTTATATTGTGAATCAAGACCATTTGAGGATATCTGATAACCTTAAGACTAAGGTTCATCCAACTGAACTTGAAATATAGCATAGGAAGTAAGACACATTGACAATTCTGATAAATGACTGAACCTGTTCTTTCTGTCTGATATTTTTTCTGCTGGAAACAGTATTTAAACACAACAACATTATGGCCTAAGAGAAACAGTTTTACAATCTGGTACACGTGTAGGGAGTCTGCTTCCCCTCTAGTAGGAGCAGAGTCTGATTGGATTATGTCACTATATTATCAGGTCCAATTATGACTTAATTAACTGGCAATATTTCTCTAAGGTTTTGATTGGAAACTTTCCCAAGTCCCCCCCCCCTCTCTTAGAAATACCAGGAAATTAATTTTGGATTTTCTGTATGCGAAACAGATGCTGTCCTGCTGAGCGTTGGCAGGCAGAATAGTCAATAGGCAGATATTATGGGAGATGGTGTGTAACACGATCCAATATCTAGTGTAACTTTCATTGTCATAACTTGATTGGATTAAATTTAGAAACGTTCATGGTTGGAATTAAATTTAATAAATTCAATGAGACAAGGTGTGTGCGCGCGCCGTGTGAGTGCGTGCGCGCATGTGCATGCATCTTCGTGACAGTGTTATCCAGTAACTGCCCTGGACTACTTGCTGCAGTTTTCTTGGCAAGATTTCATAATTAGCTTGCCATTGCCTGTTCCCAAGGCAGTGTGAGGGGGAGCGGCCCGAGATCACCCAATGGACTTTGTGCCTAAGGTGGGAGTAGAACTCACAACTAATCTGGTTTACAGCCTGGTGTCTTAATCATTGTACCACACTGGTTTTCTGAGGCACGTTAGACATATTTAATTTAATTCCCATTGATATTGGTGCATTTGCTTCTAAGCATCATGCTATGGTTCCATTATTTGATTTTTTTTTTTTAATGGAATATCTCAGCAAGGTACTTTCTGTGATCGTCAAATCTATCCAGATTTGGGCCTGGTGATTTTATGGGAAACCTCCAAGAAAACTCAATGCAAAAGGCAAACATTAATTTAAAAAAAACAAAATATTAAAAGATAACACTTTTATATTTTTGACTTTCCTGGTTCACTTATTTTCATTATATGGGAAAAGAAATGGTAGAAAAATTGCCTTCATCCATGAGAAAAAAAAATGCCTTGAAATTTAAAAGTAATCTATTTAGGGAAACTGTTTAATATCATAATTCTGTCATGATAAAATGTTGGTTAGTTTTAATGTTTCTTATTTTTATACAAACATTTAGAATGTTGCTGCCACCTAGAGGATTGAAATGTAATAATATGTAAAGATCAATTAGACATAGACATAGAATAACTTTATTGTCACTTTGAATGTACAATAATCGGCATACATTAAATTGAAATTTCATTGCATACAACTCTCAAAAGGTCACCTTTGAATACATACATACATACATACATACATACATACATACATACATACATACATACATACATACATACATAATTATGCATTTACCCACATATATTATATGACACAGAAATAACACAGTCATCTGTATAGATGTATATGGTGAGAAAAATGAATTGGGGCGTGGTATAGGATTGTCAACCTTCTATAAAATATATTTATTTCTAGAAATTGTATGCAAAATTAAAATGCAGACAATCAAAAGTAAAATTCAGAAATTATATGTAAAATTAAAATAAATATTATTGCTAAACCAGCATATAAAATTAAAATCATCATTAGACAAAGGTGATAGAAAATTGGCAGTTGCTTTTTACAGAGACTCCTTCTGTAAGGTCACACACACACACACAGATGTATGTGTTTTATATATGTATAATATGTATGTATATAGATAGCAATAGCAATAGCAGTTAGACTTATATACCGCTTCATAGGGCTTTCAGCCCTCTCTAAGCGGTTTACAGAGTCAGCATATCGCCCCCAACAATCCGGGTCCTCATTTTACCCACTTCGGAAGGAAGGAAGGCTGAGTCAACCTTGAGCCGGTGAGATTAGAACCGCTGAACTGCAGATAACAATCAGCTGAAGTGGCTGCACCCTAACCACTGCGCCACCTTGGCTCTTTTATATAAGTTTATATAAAAGTATATATATTTATATATAAGTATATAAATAAATATATCTATAAAAATTTCTATAACGTTCAGAAAGCTTCTTTTATTGAGCCGTTTTAAAATGATGACAAGTGGGTTAATCTGGGAGTAAGTAAATATGGATGAGTAAAATTGAGTAACCTGATATATGTGTCCTGGTTTCTTTGCAGATTGTGCAGGCTGTGGAAGAGATATAAAAAATGGACAAGCCTTACTTGCTTTGGATAAGCAATGGCATCTTGGGTGCTTCAAGTGCAAAGCCTGTGCGAAGGTTCTAACTGGAGAATACATCAGCAAGTAAGTCCACATAGAAAATAAATTAGTTGAGGACTCAAAATATCTGCTCTTTATTCATGTGTAAATAATTTATCTGCCCTGCAGAACTTATTCCTTTAAAGGAAGCATCATGTGAGCCATGCCGGGGGGGGGGGACACTTGTGTTTTATGTTACATCACACCCATGTGACATCACATCAGAAGTAAGATATTCTATTTTCAGAATGCTGAGAACAAACTTGTAAGCAGTATACGTTGACTTGATACTGTTCCTCCTCTGTCATATTGTTATTACAATGTTCTTTGGGGTTAAATTAAGCCAAGAGATGTCTACTTAAGGAGTTTTCTAGCTGAAGAGAAATTTAAAGCGGGATTTTGTTTGCCACAATTCAACACTTAATGTTTGCATTCTCTGACTGTCAAAAAATGTATTTATGTTGAATGGGTAACAAGTGCAGAGTGAGACATAGCTGATGAGAAATCTGAGGAGCTGTCTTTAATGCTATAAAGTGCATCATTCAACCCAAAATATGAGGATATACAAGGAAATGGATATAAAATAATGTGTATTCTATATAATGTTAGTGAAGCTAATTTGTATCTTGTGGGTTACATTCAGAGATGGTGCCCCTTACTGTGAAAAGGACTATCAAGTTCTCTTTGGGGTCAAATGTGAAGCATGCCATCAGTTCATCACTGGGAAGGTCCTAGAAGTAAGTAATATGCAACTTTACATTTAGCTGTTTGTTATAACGTATTTCAAAAATATGTATGTGTGTATTTATTTATGTGTAATTTATGTTATACAGGAACAAAGGTACATATTTTATGTAAATAGGCTATAACCAGGTTTCATGTTTTAAAAAAACATTCTGTATGTTGTTTGATATCAGAAGCACTGAAGGCCTTTACACATTGAAGATACCTTTGACATATTTTATGCTTACATATGCAACCCATAAGAATCTCAAGTAACACAAAATAACAGTGAAGTAACTCTTTATTAACTTGTAGTGGTCATCTGACTATAAATAGTGTTAGGAATATAATCTAACGGTTGTAGATTTGTAGATTTTGTAGATTTTATTAATATTTGTAGGCCGCCCTTTTCCCTGAGGGGACTCAGGGCGGCTCACATAAAATCAGGGAGGGGGAATACAAAGAATGACATTGGGTTGGCAATATATAAATTATGTAACAACGCTATACCTGTTTCTTTAAATCATACTGTAAAATGTGATTGGTTGCTGTTTACCTCAATCGGCCATAAGAGGGAGCCAGAATGACTGTTAGCTCTCTGTTTGTTGGATGCTGGGCTGATCTGATCTGAGTGTTTTTGGAAGCTGGCAGATCTGCTATCTATTTCCACGAAAGTAAAAGCCTGTTTAAACTGCAGTGTCTCTGTATGCTGGTTTGTGTGTTATCCAACTCTCACAATGCTTCTCTGAACGTACTCGCTCTCCCAACGGGGAGCTTACCTAACAAGTAGTCCAGCTTTGCAGAATTATAATTGAATTATGTATACAAAAATATACAGTAAAATTTAAAATTAACAAAACCAACCATTACATAATTACACTTAACTTTCAGTATAAAGCATAAGGAGAAAGAGGGAAGACTGTTTTATAGGAAATGCAGCATCTATTCCTGTTTTTCCAATCTCCACTGTTAATTTACAAATGACATCAAAATACAGCAAAATGGAGATATTTTGTGATGTTTTATAATGTTTGAATATTTTCAAATTATGGCTAACTATTATTTTAAACGTTTGCCTAACTTTGTGTACTTTTAACAGCTTTACTTAGTATATTTTATTCAATACTCCATAATAAGATTTGCATGTATGTTGTAAACATACAGTATTTCACTTCACTTATAATAAGGAATACTATAATAGTAGGAAGTAAGCACCAGAGGAAAGCACCAGATATTGTAAGGTAGTGATTGTATGGACAGAGACTGTAACTAAATTTTGAACCATAATTTTTTTTTTGATAATAGTACTTTTAAATAAATACGAGCAAGAACTTCTTTACTTCAGAAAATGTACAATTTTGTTATACATTTAAAATAGAGGAAGGCAGCTAAAGTAATTTGCATTTTTAAAATTATCTACTGTTAATACTTAATTGAATATATATTGTAATAGATTCTAAATGTTTAGCAAAGTGGTTTAAAATGCCAACACATTGTAGGATATTCAAATTACAGTGAAAGAAGACAGAAAACATACATCAGTCAACAGAAATAAACTAGTCAACAGAAATAAACTTGTTGAAACTGCCTAGGTTTTTGACCTGAAGTTGAAAAAAAGCCAATTGTTTTTATATTGGGAATACCTTCCCCAGTTAAAGAACATCCCCCCCACCCCACCCTCAGAGTGGAACTGAAGGACTTGAGTTCACTTTATTGTAATTCTGGGCCTGTAGGATGCTCACATTCTGATTTGTTTATCTAGAACATTGTTTCATTACAAAAATGGTCAGGAAGTAGCTGCCATCACAAAAGGGTTTTTGTGTGTGTGTGCAAAAAATAATAATAAGTATTTGGGTAATGAATCATAGAGGGAATTGTGATCAAAACAAAAAAAAACCCTTATTCAAGTCAGTCAAACATCATAGTGAATGAATGGAACACTTTTGAAAATTGAGAAATGCTTATTAAAATATTCTACACACATACACAGACAGACAGACAATGAATTTATTTTATATAACATAACAACCCATTTATTTCTGGATCATCTTCTAACAATTTGGGAAGTAGACATTCTCTAAATACCAATTTCTTTTCCGAAAAAGAACCTTGATCTATCAGTCTAACTTTGTGTAACAGGTAGATTATCTTGTGCAAGGTTGCATTTCTGTTTGGGATGTGTGGGTGAGAACAAGGTTTTATAGAGATGCCAGTCTTAATTGTGTCCATTATCATTTTGAAGAATCCAGACCCCAGCCATTGCAAGAGTGCAGCCCCAGGGCATTGCCCATCACAGATTGAATGGACATCCATGGAGCAGCAAGAGTTCAAATGACAACATTACAGAATGCACAAAACTGTCATTGGCGCTGCTATGACCACTGTAGACAGTGAATTCTGTATCTCATTCTTTTAGTAGCTTTGAACTTAAAATTGGGTTTTTTAAGACCACATGGGAAGTTATATCACTTGTTTTCAGTTCAGGAAAGATACTTGACAGGTGTTACATGCTACATTTATGTCTGTCTATCTTTCCCACTAGAATTTACTTAATTAGAATTATATCAGTGTTTTTCCCTTAAGGAATGAAATCTCACTGAAAAAGAATTAAGCTGCCGAATTTGAAATTACAATTAACTCAACCTAGTTGCTAACCCACTTAGATTGCAAATTTAGGAATGAAGTTGAGCTAAATATTTTCCAGGGAAAATTGAATGCATTAAACACTTCATAAAAATAAATACATCATACAAAGTTTTCCCTGATTTCAGGTTGTTTTCCATGACCAGTTGCAATAACCCAAATTATATGTGCACAGTAAATCTAGTATACACAATATACATAGAGGAATACATTAATTAGGTATTTGTTATTAAATGTTCTGTTCACATAATGTTGCATTATAGCTTGATGGGAATCTTACCAAGATAATTGAATTAAAGGCAATTTTTAAAAAGTCAGTTATAAATGTAAAGACTCTTGAACATGAGCAGAAGAGATTTAGATTATAATGCATATCAATTCATTAACATACAAAGTACAGTTTATTGAATATATTTTTCTTTGAGAAGAATTGATCCTTTGCTTTGTGTGGTAGGAAACCCAAGTCCCCAAACTCCTAGTTTCATCAGGAACACTCAGAAGCAATCTTCTGAACAGCTGTACTAAAAGTACTACATTCTACTTAGATAAATGTAGACAAATGGTACTGCCTCACCTTAAGCAATAGGCATCCCCTTTTCTTTTTTCCATAATGGACTGGTCCGTTTATTGCTAGTTGCAACCAAAAAGCTAGAAAAATCTGTCTGTTTCTGCATTGTGAATGAGTGATCAGGACCAGACCACACAGTTGTGATTTTGAAAGAAGAAAGTGCTATGCTTTGGATTAGGAGCAATATTGCCAGAGTTCTCCCTATGATAAAATGATCTGGAAGTTATTTCATGTCAGCAAGATGATTCTCACAGTTATTTGAGGGCGCCAGAGAGAAATGGAAGATGCAACTCATTGAATGGTGAAGTTTTAAAGCATTTCAAAGAAGTCTTAGCAGAAGGTAAATTAATCTTCCTGGGAGAATTGTTGAATATGCAGCATTACAATTATTTAAATGAAGCATGCAGCTTTAAAGGAAGAGTTAAATGGGGGAAGGAAGGTTAGGTGACTAATCCAACTGTTGTTACCATACTGCAAACAAACAATCAGAACAAATTATATTTATGTGAATTTGGCATGATTATTTGTCTTGAGAAGTATAGCTATCAAATTGTGCCAGTACAAGGAACAAATAGTGTGCGTTTGTTAAAACTTTTAACATTTCTTATTAACCAGTGCTATTTCAAATCATTTAAAAAATATGACACATAGGCAAATGTTTCTCTATTTAGGTAATATAGAGGCAATCCTGAATACATTTATGGATAAATTCAAAAAAGTAATACATATAGAAGGTGAGAAGATAGTTATAATTCATGCATACTTTTTTTAACCTAAAACCGATGTGAGATAAGTAATTATTTCTAGAAGGCATTTTATGGGGGAGGGGGTGTATATGTTTATTACATTTTTTGCTTTTGATAAAAGTGTGTGATTCTGATCTACTGCAACCAGCAGCATGTCTACAGATATTTCAGTTGCAGAAAGATTTCAAGCTCATGGTTGACCATATTTCAAATACAAGATTTTGAAAAAATATCAGCAAAGGCTTTGGGACAAGGATTTAGGTACCAGTTTCTGGCCTGATTTCTACAGCATCAACCAACATATTTGCAAATTGCTACTGCAGACCAATAGAGGACATTGAAGCAGAATCTTGCATACCTTTTATAAAACTGAGATAATATTTTTGTAGAAGCTTGTGACCATTGATGGCATTTAAGGAGAGAGAGAAACAATAGCTGAGTTTGTACATCATTATTACATTATGGATGAATGTAATCAGGGAATATGGTATAATGAATCTTGAATTGTCTTGGATAGTATCTTACTGCATTTCCTGCCAACCCAGTTTGTCATGTAAATCTTTAAGATTTACATGACAAACTTTTTAGGAAAAGAATTTTTAGGAAAAGAATTTACAAGCAGTTAGTTACTTTTTCAAGGCAAAGAGAAATTGATGTCAATACTGTCCTTTTTAAAATGATCGGGGAAATGAAATCAGGAAGAATCCATTTTCAAAATCTGGACTCACTTGCTAAAAAATTCTACAACTATGTTAAAGATTTTTTCTCTTGTTCATCTCTGTCCTTTTCTTATTACTTTGAAAGAATCATATTTTCAACTTTCGTCTTAGTTTTGATAAATGAATAAAGGATTCTACTCTCTCACAACATTTATAGTGCTACATATCCATTTTCAGAAGACAGGGTGGGGACTGAATGACAAAACTTAGCAAGCCACAATGGAAATACAAAGTTGGGTTGTTTATGGTATTCATCATTTCCACATCTTTGAAGTTTTGACTGGTTGCTTATGCCGTGCAGAGAGTTCTGGGAGAATAAATGAAAACAGGTCTGTAAT